AGCCATGAGCCCCCACACAGGAAAGGGAAACAGGCACCCATCACACTGAAGAAACAGTGGAAAGAGGGAGGGAATGGGTGGGGAAAACTGCCTCGGTGAAGAACTGCCACTCCTCACAACGCTGCAAGCACACACTCAAAGTACACACAAGAATGCCTGAAACAAAGAGCATATGGAATTCTGATGTATGCGCATATGCAATAAACTGCTGACTACAGAGAACATTGATGCTCTTTGTTGTTAAATCTGCTAAATTACATTTAACAGCATGCAGAAATTTAACCTTGAATTCTTCATCATCAGCTTGTACAATGCTATTGCTGATCAGCTGTCTAGGAGAAATCAACAGGTATGTAGAAGTATTCCCCAGAGAGTCTAAAATGTTAAATGAAATTTAGTGTTCTTTTCTAACTTGTGCCTTTTTTGTCAACATTGTGAAATAAATGCTTATGAAAATTGTGTGTTGATTTAGAAAACATCCACACCTCTCCTGTGGGGAATAAAGGAATGTTATTTTTATGCCTGGTAACCAGCATCCTTAACACATTCTTGACATTCCCTCACAGTTAAATTCTGATTTTATTCTTTCCCGTTTACACATCGACTTTTGAAACACGCAAATCATCTCTAAATTTCCAAAGGACTTGTCTTAGAAGTTTAATTTTATTCCTGGAATCACAAAGTTATGAACTCCTAATGGTGATCTAAAGTACATGAATCATCCTGACGAGTGTAATATAGGTCGGAAGGCTGGTAACTTTAATTTCTTGAGAAAACTTTCTTGTAATGGTAGAACAGCAAATTCTAAGGACCGGCCATGAAGGAACCGCCAGTAACAATTACAGGTCGGGAAAATTGGCTTTCAGAAGAAACGCAACGGAAGTGATAATTAATAAATACAATATAATAGGTTACCGCACTGCGAATTTTACGTTATTGCCAATTGATGGTCAATCATTTTTGTGTTGTAGACTGGTATGCAAACATTACGAAAACTTGCAGCAGACTATATGTTGAGCCATCAAGATGATTTTTTACCATTTTTGACCGATGCGAAAACTGGGAAGCTGTACACACCAGGTAAAATTGTAACGTTTTCGCTTTACTTGCTGGATGAATAGGGACAAGTTTTTGCTACGATTTTGGACGATATTAGATCCCAATGTTGTCAATGTTTCTATCTAATTCTTATGAAGTGCATTTATCAAAGAGCACAGCTGAAGAGGGCGAAGCCTTTTATGTGAGATGAAGAAACGCTACCTCCGGCTCAATAAAGGGATGAACTTCTAGGTGATCTGAAAGCTAAACTAGACGGCTTCAGGCAGGTCTAGAACAGAGCAACTACCCGAGAAGAAAAAGGCAATTAAAGCACGGTGCCTTGGGTTGAGAGCCTGTTTCTCGCCGTAAATGTCCGCGTGTCCAAGTTCGATTCAGGCTGCTGTACCCAGTTAAGCTTGAAGTCAGTAGAGCAGACAAGGATCCTGTAGTTAAAGCTGAAGAAATGCTATCGAGACCTAGCTGGTTTCCAACTATTTGGAGAGAGAGAGAGTAGTTAGCTCAACGGTGATTTTTTTATTTATTCTGTATTTGCAGATCAATTCGTTCAGTATTGCGAAGAAATCGCTGCGACTGCTTCATGGGGAGGGCACCTTGAGGTAAATTCTTTGTTTCGCATTTACATTACTCAGATTTATTGTCTAACCTCAGTGAGATGCGTGGTGTTTTCTTTTTCGTTTTTGTTGTTGTTTTTTTCGAAGTTATTTTTATGTGACTTTTGGTTCGGGGTGAAGGGCCTAGCTCAGTGCCCGTCAAAGTCTGCTTGTAGGAAAAGCTTTTTGCCATTATTTTTCTTCCTTCCGTGTGAGGGCGAAAGAGGAAGGAGAAAATGAAAGAGAAGCTAAGAATAAGGTTCTTCGAAGACTCGAGTGTCCATCGACAGTCATCTGAAGAGTCATGGCTTATAAAGTCAATGACGAAAGGGATTTTTTTAGGTTTTTCAGTTTCATTCGCCGTGGTCGTTTTAACTAAACTTACAGTATACATTTTATTTGAATTTAATTGTAGAGAATTCGAGGAAAAATAGAACACTGAAGTTACTGTAGAAATTACAACATAATGTAATGTTTTGGACTGCAGTGCACTACTTGTTTTGATTTGTCAAGTATTGTCGGACGTGGTTCGAGTTATCGCGGTGAAAAATAAACAGTATAGAGAATGACATGAGAGGAAACGAAAATTGCTTCGAGTCAGCGGAAGGTTCGGGTTATCGAGGGTTGAGTTACCGAGGGTAAAATTGCAGCATATATTTGGCGGAAATCTAGGGGAAATCGAATTTGGTTTGAGTTAGCGCGGGTTCGAGTTAGCGAGGGTTCGAGTTAGCGAGGGTTCGAGTTAGCGAGGTTTCGAGTTATTGAGATTCTACTCTTCTGTTAAAGGGCGGCATTGAAAAACAATGATCGTCACATCAGAAGTTTTTATCTTCAGTGCCGCCCTTTTACAGTCCTTTTATAAGTCCAGACCAACCTGAGAGTCGTATTTTGTCTCCAACGGCTTTCACGATTACGGTGCGCCTCCGCCAAAACGAACATAGTATCTATTTTATTATATTTGTTCTAATTTATTACGGGGCAAAAAATGGACAAATTGAAATGTCCCGTTGGTTTCGATACTTATGAGGTTTCACAGGAGCCTGGGTTCTTTTCGTGTCATATACCTCGTCCCCGTGTTTTTATTGTCCCCTGCCGTATTCTGACATTTTAACACAATTGTCTTCCCAACAGATCCAGGCTTTGTCTCAAGCTCTAAAGCTTCCTATAGAAGTTTATCAAGCTAACGCCCCAGTTCTAAGAATAGGAGAGGACTATGATGACCGGCCATTATTGTTATCGTAAGTGGAAGAAATACCAACGAAAAAAAGCGCACCAGAGATGCGCGAGGGAAAGGGCCTCGTTACGGGATGGAATGAGAAAGGTTTTCCTTTCCATAATCAGATCCCTCGTCTTAATGCTAGTCTATCGCAACCCCGCGGCCGTGGTTTCAAAAGTCAGGACGACCAAGGACGAGTAAGCAGTCTCTGAATCGATCTCTCGTTTAACCCTCTACACCTTAACATCAGTATGCACATTCTCCTTTCTGTTCCCTATACATTTTCTGGGTGCTGGCAAAGAGAATTTGTTTAACAATCAAAAGCTTCATTAGTTGGTGATCAGTTTCTTTATTCTCATGACCTTAATGTGTGATTAAGAGGTGATATTGTAAGGAGAATTTATATGCTTGTCATTCTTTCGGGTGGAAGGGTTAAGGGAATGGAAACAAAATAGACCTTGGGAGTGGGTCTCAATAGAATTAACCGTTGGCGTAAGATGGCCAAAAATTAGCTATCAGGCGTAAAAATTTGACAAATTTTACCCGTTAGTCGCAAGAAAAGTTAACCGTGAATACAATGTATGGTGACAACAATAGAAAGATGGTAAACGTTAGCAGGAGCCCAGTGATGGGTTCCCGGCTGCCGTTAGCCGAAAATTGGCCAAAGTTTTAGCCATTCGCCGTAAAAGTTAACATCCCCTTAAGACCCTCTAGGGAGGGGGTTGGAAGTCGGCCTCAGGATTCGTAGATCACGAGTCTAGCGTGCTAGCATCAGTAAATTCTGCCTTTCGTTAGTTGTGCTACAGCTTCTTTATAGACTTAATTGATGTTGGTGTTCATTCATAATTCTTGTCTCGATTTGCTTGTTGTTTTCTAGATATCATCACCATGAATACGGTCTGGGAGAGCATTACAACTCAGTCATTCCCACAGAAGAATGTTTTGACAGCTAGCACTTAGATTAATGATTCATTGAACGCGCTGAAAACGATTTATTACAATCAAAAGACTATCAATGTGTACCAGAACACCCATAGTGGTCATTTAAATAAAAGATTAGACGTCGTGACATTTGTTTGTCGAATATGCCTTCCGGTAACCGAGAGCCATCCCGTCACCTAAACTTATTTGACCAGTTGAATCGAGTGGATAAGCTTTAGTTAACGACAGCACCTTTAATTAAAGGTGAGTATTTGACAAAGTTTACCTGCTTCTTTTCCACGTTGATGAAGCTTTCATCTGATCGGATCAATGATTAAAGAAACTTGTGGAAGCGAAAGAGAGTTATCAGATCTTGTAGGGGGGCTTAACTGTAATGTGGAATAAAATCAACTTGGAACCACTGCCTTCTTCAAATTTCCTCTTTATTGACATTATAGTTTGATTTTAGTAATTTCGTGAAAAATTAGATAAAGCTTCAAGATTGGCAAACGGACTGGCTCCAATTTATAGGTCACTTTAAAGGTCTGAACAAAATGAGGCCAAGAGCAAAACTTAAACATTATGAAAATTAGTTCATCTACATGGGAATAAAAATTAATTTCATATCAAAGGTCACTCTTATCCTCATTTCCATAGAGGAACTTCAAGTATCTTTTGATATACTTTCGACTTCATATTGGAAACAACAATAACAACACTGATCAGCCTAAACGAGAATTTGACGTGCAAAAACAAAATTTAGAGAATTCCTAGCTGTTTGCTGATGTAGCACACTACAAAAAGTTAAAATGATTATCCTTCAACTCTGTCCCCGTAGGAGAGAGCTTTGGAGTTCATCAGAGGCTGTTTGATTTCAATCTACTCTTTTGATCGCCATACATTCGTGTTGTCTAAAAATTGTAATTGGAAGTGTCCATTACATGAATTTCTATTTTGATATAAAACTGTTTATGTTCTGGCATGGGAAAAAAGTTTTAATATCAATTTTTCTCGTTTTCTCCGGGATTGGCTCCTGGTTTATCCTGATCGGCCGTTCCGCTCTCATCTGGTTTCATAGCTGGGAAAAATAGTACCTCCTACAACAAACAGAACAACAGTGCAATTAAAATAAACAAGTTACTTTAACTGATGTTGCTCATTCTGTAGTATAGCAGGTTTGAACGATGCTAAAAAAAAGTTAAAATAATAAAAAATAATGAGAATAAAAAGAAAATATGTAGCCAGTGTTTCAAGGAGAGGCAACAATTCTCAATCAAGGTGCGCCAAGCAGGGGAGTAGGGGCCCCAACAGCATTTGTTTATGGAGGGGAGGGCCCCAAGAGCATGTTTTTGGGGAAAGGAGCATCCCAAGGGCAATTTTTTTTTTAATGGGAGGGGGAGAGTCTCGAAAAGCGTTTTTGCGAAATTAAAGAAAACTTTGAGCTGTTTTCCTACGGTTTTCAATTTTTTACTGGGCTGGGAAGGAGGGTAACGT